AGTCTTGCATATCCAACAAGAATGCATGTAAGCTTTATCTGCATGTATCTGGACACCCTTGTTCCATCATAGGAATGAAAACATTTTCTTAATGTGTTTTGTGTGAAATTTTTATTTTCCAATATGGTACATTATCTCAGCTCAAGTAAATAGTTATTCTCTTTCAGTGCTGCCCTCTATAAGCAAAAAAAAATTAAATGCATGCCACCAGCCTTCCATCTCCCCTCCATTGGAATTGACTGATTCCAATTTGTCTCAAGCTAATCATTATGCATCAACCCTCCACCAATAGAAGTGCAACATACTCTAATGACGCATGTGACTCCCTCTATTCCATTGTACTGAACTATCACTTCTCATTTGGCAGTGCTTGTGTTCAGACGTTTTTTCTTTTGGTATTCTTCGTGTGAATCATGATTTTAATAGTTTAATTTATGAAGTTGGATTTCTTAATTATTACTTTTTTCTTTATATTGAAGAAATTTTTTAATTTCATTTAATTTCCCAGTATTTATAATTTCTCAAACTTGCATATTTTACATCAAACACTTTTGTTTGATTTAAGTATTTCTACAATGAATTCTGAGGTTCATGTTCCCACTTCAGGTGTTATACTTATAGCACTATTTTCACAGGCTGCAGTTGGGGGACACCCGTTGTTGGATTTCTCTGTTAATCACTAATCCTCCTAAACAAGCCAAACCTGTTCAGGCTGATGAAGATTTTATGACCTTTTTACACCACCGGATTTTGCCGTGTTTTCCCTACCCCTCCTGCAGAATTGGCTAGGCCTAATACAGCATTTTTCGAAATGTTTTCTCGGGTATGTTATATTTTATTCAATTCAATATTTTATATGATTTCTCATTACCTCCATGCTGTCTCATTTGTCATCTTCGACTTTCGCTTTACAATGTGGTTTCATTGTAGTTATCGGTTTTCTGGGTCGTAGTGCAACGTTGTCCCAGGTACGTTTGCTGCCTCCTCCTTTTCAGGATTTCTATATTTTTTTTTTCTTTGGTGATATGTTTTTGATCATGTATCTGTACCAGAAACTAACCATAGGGTTCCAGTCCAGTGGGAGTTTGACTGTATATATCGTTACCTTTTGGCGATCTTCCACTACAGCTCCATAGGTTTTTTCAGGTTTAACAGAGGGACTTGTCCTTTTATTTCTTTCCCCACCTCCTTTGTTCCTGATACCCTTTTCCTTTCACATGTCTTGGGATCCTGCCACCAGCCTGCATCTGTCATAGGAGGTACAATATTTTCTGTCTCAAGTGTTGATGTTCCTCTGGACACTCCACTGCATTTTTTCCTCCTTTTCTTTTAGTGGCGTTTGGGAGTCCTTCCCACTTTTTAGTTCCAATCCCCTGGGGTGGTGTACTATGGAGGCATCCTCCTGAATGTGTTATTGAAATACAAACGAAAGATAGAAATGATTATGAAGGCATTCAGTTGAGAGTAGGGTGATGGTGTTCTGCTGGAGTAGATGATGTGATATCCTCCAATATGAAACATAAACAAATGTGAGTGAGCCATCAAAATTGCAGTTCACCCCATTATTGGGATCCCTCATCCTACCCCACATGGAAGTTGGTGGAGGGTTGACACAAGATGATTTGCATGAGTGACACATTGGAATTAGTCAATTCCAATGGAGGGGAGATGGAAGGCTTGTGGCATGGGTAAAAACTTTTTTCATGTAGAGGGCAGCACTAAATGAGAATAGCTATTTACGTGAGAGGAGGTAAGTACCTATCAGAAATACATTTTCAGTGTAGGAAAGTAATAACTTTTGTCTAAATGAATATTTGTATTTTTTGCAGTTATTTTGCAATCTCACCAGGCTTTATACTTTTCATTTTCACTGTTTGATATCTTCAGGTATAGCTGATTCAAATGCTCTCAACTTAGCAGTTTCAATCTTTCATAGTTGTCAATTTGTTGGGATGCCTGAAAGTAGGGTAAGTTGGTTGTTTTTAACAACCTTTATTTTTTTTTAGATTTGATGAGATAGAAATTACTAGTTTTAGAGCTGGGTCATTAACTCAGTTAATCAAATTATGAATAAATATGTTAATATTAGCAAAATAATCAACTAATCAAAGTTAATGTTCCTTATTATTTTTATTCCAACTATCCAAGTAATCAAAATATTACCATTTGGATTTCTTATTATTATATTTGTCAGCTTAATCACATAGTGTCACAACACACAAAAGCAATCAATTAATCAAATTTAGAGTTTCCGGTTATTACTATTTTAGATTAATCCAACTATTTCAGTTGATTGCAGCTACTTAATGAATTTAACGATTAATTGATTATCAAATTCTACTAATTGCCCAGCTCTAGCTAGTGTTCAATTTCATTGTTTTGTGTGTTATTGGTAGCTTTTAAATATGTAAAGCTTTTTACTTGTTTCCTAAAATATTTTAATGATATCAAACTAACAAGACTTAAAAAAAAATATTTTTTAATGTTTAAGGTTTTAAACACACTGTCATCTTTATGGCAATCATAATTTGTACTGACTGTCATAGAGACAAAATATATGAATGAGAAACCTTAAGAAGACGATAGAAAATTTTAAGAATATGCCAAATGTGAAAGTTAATAATAGTTAAAAGATGGCATTTATTTATTTTCCAACACTGAAGTGACACTATGTTTAGCTAGTAGGTTTTTTTTTTATAAGTACTTTAGGGACTTTCTGCAATCATTTCATATTTCTAATTTATTTTTATTGAAGTAATTGTTTATATCCTGTATAGATAGATTTAAATCCCAACAAAAAACAGTAACACAATTTACTTCACTATTTCTGTTTCAATTTCAATAGATAATACAGGGAAATCATATTATTTAGTAATTTTTCAGTGAGGGGGATACAAGGATATACACAAACAAATGGCCAAATAAGGGAAAGATGTAACAACCTTAAACAAAGTATTTGTTAAATTTTCTCATAAACAGTTTTTGGTCAATTTTGAAATCAATTTGTGTAAAAAAGTATGTTTAAAATGTATGTTTTGTGAAACTTGTAACTGCCACTCAATAAATCAAGTTTGTTTGTTTTTCTTCCCATGTGGATGTTATGAAGTTTTACATCATTATACTTCTTTTATAGATAATAATTGTCAAGTTATATAATATTTTAAATCAGAAAATGTTTTTAAAGTGTTGATGATATAGTAATTTCATTGGTAAATACTTGCAAACAATCAGTAATTTTGGGCTTATTATCATATTCTCTTACTATGTTTGCTAGGTGAATTACAGCTCAAGGTGTATGTGTAATAGATCAATACTTTCAATCTTAATTTTGTATATTATTAATTGCATTGGGCATATACCATAGGAATACAGTTTTTGATTTTATTTTCTTATTATTATACATTTTCTACTTCTGTAAAGGCTTTCACCTTTTTTTTATCTTGCACTAAACCACATTAACAGTGAAGATAATATAGGTTATTAGAAAACAGATTTGTATAAAATACTTATAACTGTATCTGTATCTATAAAAAAGTATTTGTACTTAAGACATCTGTCAAGAAAGGATTTATTTTTGTTTTAAAGAATCTGTTAGCACTAAAAAATAATTGTCTGTGAGACAATTATAGCTTACATACTTCATCTACATCTATGGCCATTATAAAAATTTCTCAGAAACATTTAACATTTTACCTGGTAATGGAATATTAATTATATTTGGTATTTCTGCAGTTGCATGTGAGTTGAATCCTTCACTTAAATCCATTACTTGTATTTGGACAAATTTGAGAGCAAACTTGTGAGAATACACACCCTAATTTGTAACTTTGGAAACTACAGTTTATTTTAATTGAAAGTATGACTCATTTTGATGCTTTCTCATAATAAGTAAAATATCTTGTTTACCCATACGGCTGGAGAAGCAGTTCTTTTTATGAATATGTGTGTGTGTCTATATATATATTAGGTCGTCAAGAGATTAATGTCACATTTTCTTAGATGAAAAAACCCGAACAACTCGTGTATCAAAACAAAACATTTGTTAAATGAAATAGTCTCCATTCTTATTGATGATGCTTTTCC